ATGGAAAAGCTTGCGAGCTTTGTCCGTCTTCTTTCTCGTCCCCTCCGGAAATCTTGCGAGCTCTTTCCAACCTTTCATCTTGGCTTCTAATCTCTTCGTCTCTTCCAAATGCAGCAACTTTATGGTGTCTTTGGTTTATGAGTCAAAGTTTGTTAACTCGTAATTTTGTGTTTTGTAATTTTTTTCTTTTTAGTTTTATTGTAAGAGTTTGTTCTTCCTTTTGTTCTCCCTCATCTTAGTCGCATCTTCTTCTTTATTCGTGATTTAGTGGGTCGTTCGGGTCAATCTCATTCGTGCGGGCAAGGGGTATAGGCTCCCCTATATTTCTTGCCCCCACCAGTAGCAGAAAGGTGATTCTGGCGTCAGGAAAGTGGACAGAAGCTATTTTTATAAAGCTTCCGACTGGCAGCCTACAGAGACAGCAAGCAGGAATTCTACTAAAAACAGGTAGAGAAACAACAGAACTTGGAAACAAGCAAAAGGACAAACAAGAAAACAGAAATGTGCAGGAAAATAGATGAACGAACTGTGAGAATCGAACCGGATCTGGCCAGTTCAACCGAACCGGACAGTTATTAATAAACCTCAGGCAAACAGGAGCGGACACGAACAGGGGGCGGAAGGCTAGGTAGACCGAACGCTTGCAAAGAATGGATTTGGGTAAAAAGGAGTGAATGATTGCTTTTGAGGATAAGATCTAACAACTCCTCTTAACTCCTTTCTCATTTTTATCTCTAAAAAAGTAAAGATTGGGAAGAAACAAGAAGAACGACCGAAGGAAAGAGGGAAGGAGGTTTGTCGACTTTTCTTTTTCATTTTTTGTTATAAATTCTCTTGTTTTACTTCATCTAAAACAAGTGGTAATTGCATAAGGGAAGAATAAGAGATTGAAAGCGAGGAGAAAGGAATTTGGGAGAGAAATAAGGATTTTGGGAGTTTGAGGAAGTTCCCATTTGTAAGCGAATTTCTTATTGCATAATTTTATTTAAATTATGTTATTGAATCACTTTTTTTTTAATGAAAGATATATTCAAGTTGCAGGAGTTCGTTTCAACAAAGACTCAACAAAGAAAGAAAGAAAAATTTTATAAGGTAATTTCATGTGGAAGAAATCAAACATTTATAGAGACATTCAAATTGGGATTTAAAGGGAGAGACTAAGTTGCAGGAGTTCGATTCAACAAAGAAAGAAAGGAAATTTTTGTAAGGTAATTTCATGTGGAAGAAATCAAACACTTATTGAGACATTCAAATTGGAATTTAATGTTAATTAAATATTTATGTTATTGTGAACAGTTGAAAGAGTTTCAATACCAAATGAATATTGGAAGAGGAGAATCAAAGTGGATAATTATAATTATAAAAATCGAAAACGACATTATTAGGTTGTCGCGCGCTTTTCAAAGCACCGCGATGAAATTAAGTGAGATTTTCAACGTTAACGGAATTTAACGAAAATAATTTTAGAAAATCCTACGCGAAATTCTGATCGTTTTGGTATAGAACACTTATACCTAATTTAGCCTATTTTAGAAATTAAAATTTAACAAAGTTTCGTAATGACAATTTTACCCCTCATATGTATTAAGGCCAAATCCAATTAAGGGTAGTATGGTAATTAGCGAACCCAAATTCTCCCTAATAGAGCAAACCGTCCCTTCTCCCCCTCTCATTTCACGCGTGAGGGACGAACCGAGCGGAACGAACACGGACGGGCGTACGGCATGGCTTCCGCGAGGACTTTCCGGCGACGATCTTCCGGCGAAAATTTTAGGTCAAATCGAAGAGGACGACGAGAGGGTTACTCCGGTATGATTATTTTCAAACGAATCCCTCTCGATCTCTTGATTTTTGGAAAAGAAAATTTTAGGTTTTATAGAATTTTGAAATTCTTTCCAAATTTCTTTAAGAAACCTTTAGGGAATGATTAGGGAAGCATGTTAACGGTAGAAACGATGTTTTTGGAAGACTTTTTGGAGATTTGTAAATTAGGGTTTTTCCTAATCTATGATTTTAAGAAAAATCTTTTTACAATTCTTGTTCCTTAAGGCATAAGAAATGTTTTAATGATAAAAATTTTGATATTTTAGAAAAAAAAATTATTTTTCTTAATTTCCTAAATTATTTAATCCGAAAATTTAACATATAATTATTAATTATATGTTTAGGAATATTTTTAGAGCATGACATTGATAAAATTTTGACTTATGGCTTTCCAACAATTAAGTAATTAATTAAATCCGAAAATTTATGTTATTTTAATCAAAAATCTATTAAGCATTTTAAGAAATAGTTAAATGGAAATAAACGGGTTTAACATTAGACTTAGAATTAGCCTTAATGAAATATGGAATTATGTGCATGTTTATTTTATTCCTAGGTTGTAATCATTAAGGGTGGAGTGGAAGACTTGTGTCGAAGCGACGTGTCGTACTTGGTTTGAGGTAGGTACTCATGTTTTTAATAAAAACTTCATGGTTTTGTTTTGTTCTGTTCTAACATTCAATGCAATTGATTGAAAAGTTTTATATGACACGAATTCATGAATTTTTATTTTTATGGCAATACGAATGTTCAAGTCTTTTATTTCATGAATTTAAGAAGCTTCATTCTTATGTTTTAAAAAATAAATGTTTTATGCCTTATACATCATTTTTACTACTGTTTTTCACATGCATATGAATGAAAAGTAATATATTAGAAGAATGTGCATGCTGATGCGGAGTGCCCAAAATGGTAAAGGAAGGCTCGTAGAGCCAATGGTAATGGTGGCTTGTAAAGCCAATGGTAAAGGAGGCTCGTAGAGCCAATGGTAAAGGAAATGGCCAAATTTTGACTGAGTACCTGATCAGTACCAAATTACGGGCACATCCGAGACGGGTGTTACTAAAACATTATGCATAATATGTATTCTTTTATGTTCTCTTCAAATTATGAAAATATATATTTAAGTAAAAAGGATAAATGAAAGATATTACATCAAGGAAAGAGGTTAAGAAAATGTTTTTTTTTATGCACTGATACGAGATAACATAAGCTTGACGATCTTTTCATGTTTTCATATGAAACTGTTTTATGTTAGTTTTATGTAAATTTTTATTTAAGGACATGAATTACCTGCTGAGCGTTGGCTCATTCCTCGTTTGGAAATCTTTTTCATGAGAGAAGTGATGGCTGCTCGACGACCTTATATGCATCATCGTATGGGACCTCAAGATGAAAGGTTCCTTTTTGTGTTTTCAGTTTGAGTCTTTGTATTTGTTTCATTGTAGTTTGTGAGTTTGAGGTTTATGTAATTGTGAAAGTTTATGTTATGATGATGGGTTTGAAAGTTTTATTGGTTATGAGACAGTTGATCAGTTTGTAACATTTGAGTTTGAAGTTTATAAGTGGCTCTTTCATGTATTTTGGGATGATATTTATGTTCTGACCTTAAGTTTTAAATGAAAATATGTTATGTATTATGCTCTTCCGTACGACCGACTGTTCCCGCCCCGATTTAATCGGGCTAGCCGGGCCGGGTCGTGACAATAATTGTGTATAAATTTTATTATTGTATTTTCGTATTCTCTTGAAAGGAATGTTTATGATAATGACATGTTATTACTATTATGTATAGACATTTTTATATGTTATTGTTAAATGTTTTGTTTAAATTATAAAAGTGAGGTTTATTTATCTTTTGATATTATTATGTGAAAATATTCAAATGAAAGATAAATGTATATGTAAAGGAAATAGATATATGATACTTATAGACATAAGAAAATAAGCAAAGAATTGTGAAAGAATAAAATGACCTATATGATAAACAAATGTATAAATGAACAGATAATAAAGGGAAAATGATATGTATGCAAAACTTACAGGAGTTCACCCCCGTATAGTACTAGCTGGAGAAATAATGTACCTATGCATGTAAAAAGAAAAAGGTTATGAAAAAGGAAAAAGAAAATGAAAATTGTTGTACCTTCGGTACATTTAGACGGTGCTCCTGTACAAATGAAAAAGAAAAAGGAATAAATATTAAATCTTTATAAATGTTATAAAAACTTGTGATATGATATGCATAAATGATTGAAATGAATGAAATAAAGATAAAGGGGAACGAATAAGAAGTATATTAAAGGCTATATGTATGGTATATTTTATTTCATGTTAATTGTTTAACAGTTACCCACTGAGTTTACTTTGTAAACTCATTCCATTAAATAAATGTTTTAAGATACCAAAGATTTGAAATGACAGAAAAGGAAGAGTTCGTCTATAGGAGACGACGCAACATTGAAAACAGGTAAATTATGATTTGATATAAATGTTAAGTATTTGAGAATTAATTTTTTGTTAGTGGTTCTTCAGATGAAAAAAAACATTGAAGTTTTAAATATTGTATTGGTTATGTTTCTGAAATAATTAGACCCTATCGTCCGACTTTTTAGTTCCCGCCTCGTTAAATCGAGCATCCGGGCCGGGTCGTGATACGAACAGCAAAAAACTTTGAGAAATAGTGAACAGGAGACTGTTTTCTATAAGCATAAACTATTCTTTGAATCCAAATAATGGTGAGGGGAACTAAAAAATAGGCGTGGCATGAAAAAGGGAGGAAAAGAAACTACCTATTATCCCAAACTGCTCTTTGAATCACTCAAAAGCACACCGAATGAATTATATTGAACATCCAAACAACAAAGAGAACCTGGATGAAATTTTGAGGCTTAAGGAAGTTTCATATTGCATTTATTCATTTATCAATTGCTCCAAATGACTGTTAAACAGCTATTAATTATAATTGTTAATCTATATAAAAGATAAACATGAGCTTGAGACATTTTACATCAAGGCCTATAAATTAAACAAGTTAACTCAAACAGCAGAATGACATCAAGAATGAGAAAATGGCAAATGAAAACTGATTAGATTATTAAAACTTATTAGCTAAATTTTTCGGAGTCCCATTTGATTGGTTCCTCAAATTATCCACTGATCAAACAAACTGAACTCAGATAATACTTAAACTGACATAATTAAGAGAAATTACATCTTGAACTATGGAATAGAACACCATTGGGTAGCTTTCTGATGAATTTCGCTCCTCATCAAGATTACCTCCAAAGTCTGTGGTGAAAGGCTCACTTTTTACGTTGTTTGTTTCAAGAGTTTTACCATAATTTAACCCCTTTTCAGCATTGACCTTCCATTTCCCTGTTTGAAAACTGGTATAGTATTAGTACAACGTGAAAGGATGGCAAGATATTCAGTTAAAAATTGGTACCTTTAGCTATAATAGACCATTTTATGATACTTGTTTTACTTAAAACTTTATGATGGTAATGATATCCTCCGCAAAAGATTAAACCCAACTTGACCAAAAACAACGTCATCATTTCAAGAGATAGCATCGAAATGAATATGTGCTAATTGTCAGGAGGAAAAATAGCAGAACTCGGAACAGCTAGAAATATGCTCTCAGGACAGCTCTAGCAAAATAAAATGCATCTATTGAAGATTTCTTGATCTATCTATGAATTGGTTGATATAGAAATAATTATTTCATGGCTGTCACCATATTGATTTTCTCGTAATATTGTTTGGGTAAATTCAATATCTCCAGCCAAAACTTATTGAGTTTGTGGTTTATTTCATCTGTTTCCGCAGAGGCACATAGATTATCAAATAGATACCTCTTGGACCCTCATAGTTTCAAATTCACTAAAATTTACAAAATTAGCTCCAGAAAGAAAATTCTCAAAAATAATATTTCACTAAAAAAATGAATTATGAAATCTAACAAATTGAAATTTATCCAGAATATCATAGGGAAAAAGGTATTATTTAGAAAGAGAACGGAAATTTTAATCAACTTGTTACATCCTTGCAATAACCAAAGATTGAGCACACCTTTGTCAAACTTGCATTGAAAAAGGGTACATGAGGCCAAAGGTCGTAGGCTCCAACGTTTTAAAGATGAACTCCTGAAATCCATTACAACATATAATATTAGAATAACCAAATACAAAGATTTTTGCAGGAAATTGCATTATTGTCGTTAAAAAGAAAAAGCCTTTCTTTAATGCACTGAACAATTATAAATTCTGCAAAACTTGCACGGCCTCATAAATTCCGAATAAATCTATTCATGCGTACAGGTAAGAATGCAGAAAACTGTGATAATAAAAATAATACTAATCAGTAAAAAAATAGTCCTAAATTAACCATAAAACTCTCAATAAACGGGACAGTTGTTAAATGTTAATATAGCTGGCATTAAGATGAATTTTCATTTAGATTATTCAAAGCAAGGAATTGCTAGCTAAGAATAGGCAATTGCTCCACCATCAGACAAGTAGTCGGACCCAGTCATTAATTTGCATCAATTTATCTTAAACGATGCTGATGTTGTAACTCATCATCTTTAGCCTTATGTCAACTGCATCCATTAGCGTTGACTACGAAAGGAGTTTAAAACTATTTTGCACAGATCTCTTTACCAAACTTCTAGCAATATCATTTTTTTTTTGTTTACCCCTTTTCCATCAAATTTGTCGGCATTAATATTATATATTCATCATATTAGTTCATATATGCCTAAATCAACTAAGTCTATTTTCACTATATTATCCTATAGGTGTTAATTCCACTCTCCTTCTAACATAATCATTTTAATCTATAATTCCTAAGTTGTCACCTAATTTGAACACTTAACTATCGCTGACATTTTTTATATTCTAATGCTTCAGTCCATTTAACATTGACGGTCAATTTACAATTTATAAAATTTACTTTTAATTCTTCATGGCATTATCATACTGCAAAGAACTTTTAATGTACTATATATTTCAACCACTCAATATTAACTGTAGAAGTTATATCTTCATCTATTTCTCCATTCTTCTATATAATAAATACAAGATACTTAAAAGTATCACGCCTATATCATTGATTCATTTCATCTTCCCCCATAAACTTCATAGTTATTTTATTGATCTTAGCCACTTATATTCTAAAATTGTATTGAATATTGTTTGTTCTCCAAGTGGTGTCTTAAATTTCTAAAGAGCTAGTCTTGATTTTCTTGTTCTCTCTTTGTGTTTTGTTTCAAGTTGCATACATCACTTTTGTAAGCACCTCTATAGTCGATACAAAAAAAGGATTAATGTTAATTCATCGCTTTAATAACTCGTGCATATCATTAACACACTTCTTTTAATTGCCAATAAATCAATTGTTTTGATACTTAGATCACATCCCTTCTCAAGTCAATAAAAAGAAATATGAACAAATTAATCATGCAGTGCATGGAACCAAATCTCCTCAACTATGTAAAACTAACATATGCATATTAAATTCAAGAAGGAGATCAGTAGATGCAATTTAACTACATTGAAGGCACTGCAACATGCCAAAAAAGCTTGAATTGTTGCAAAAGGCTCTATACAGAAACACGATCTCAACTATACCAAGACATTTAGCTAGTGGCCAAAATAATGACAATTAGAATCCTTACGATAATTGCTCTTACATGAAATTGGCCAGTTCATCAACTAGACATCTCAAATGCCTTCCTTCAGAATTCTTTGACAGAGACAACTCATATAATGCAACCTCATGGTTCTATCGATCCGCTTCACCCACCACGTTTAATTCTTTAAAAAGGCAATATATGGTCCCCACCAAGCCATGCGCAAATGATTGCAACCTTCACAAGGCACCTTCAACAATTAGGCTTCCACCAGAACAATGCCAACCTTTCCTTTCCCTTAGATCACCAAAATGAGGTAACCTTATATATTATAATCTATGTTGAAGACATCTTGTTCACAAGAAAAAACAACGAAACAATGGTTGCTATCTTACAAAATTTTCAAAAGCAAATTCCATATGAAAGATCTAGACTCAATCTCAGTGTTTCTTAGCTTGTAAGCTCAGCAAACATCTCACATCCTAAACTTAAATTAGACAACTTATGCCCATCAAATACTGGATAGAGTCAGGATGTGAAGCTGCAAATCGATCTTCCTAGCACCTATATTTCTCAATCCATCCCTCTCAACAAATTCTCAATATCCATTTGCTCAACCTGAGCTCTGCCTTCACCTTGCAAATTCTCTGCAATATCTTACCATTACTCACCCATATCTTGCTTTTATCGTCAACAGAGTGTGTCAATCTATGCATCATCCTTTAATCAAAATTATCTTCTTATCAAACTAATCTTGTGGTATATAAAAGGTACACACTCCCATGGCCTACTAATTCACCACACATACCTTAATCTATACGCCTTCACAAACTTTGATTGGGCAAGAGACACAACAAATTGCAAGTCCAATATAAGATACTGTGACTTTCTGGGACACACCTTAACATCTTAGAGTGTGAAAAAATAGTCCATGGTACCTAGATCATCAACTAAAGTACAATATCGAGCATTAGCTACTACTGATATTGATATCATCTAGATCAAAAGATCACTCTACAAGCTTAGCATCTACCTTTCCTTGCCAACACCCCTCATTTGTGACAATGTCTCAACCGTCGCTCTTGCCAACAATCATATCTTCCATGTTCGTAACAAACATATTGAGGTCCATCATCACCTTTATTTGGGAATGCATCAAGGATTGTACTATTATAGTCCATCAAATCAATTTGCAAGACCAGCTTGTGGATCTATTCACAAAAATGCTATCCCCATCTACAACACAAGCTAACATTCCAAGATTGACCAAGACCATGGGGGGAGGAGATAACAGCATCATGTATTCCAGAATATTCACAAAGCCATCCGCACAGAACACTTGTTGGCTTGTTGCCGTGGAAGACCATCCTATATTTTTATTCTAAACCGTTCCTGACGCCTTGGAACATCATTGTGCCAAACAACCTCTATATATACATAGCAAGATATTACACAACAGGCAGTGGATGAAATACTATTTCAACTAGCTACCTCTATACATCTCTCTACTCCTCTGTTTATTATCATTTCTAGTTTTCGTTTTTCCTGATGCTGTAAAGCCCACATCTCAGGCTAAGTGGCTAGTCATAATATAAACACGAATGAACAAGCCTCTTCTACAAGGAATTTTAGTAAAATAATTCAGAGAAAATTGCTTGTATTTTACAACTTTCAAGATCAGCTGCAATACCCATGGTGCCAAAAAATGACATTTCTGGATCTCTTGCAGAATTTGAAGTATTCCTGCATTTCTAGTTCACTCGAGCACACAACTTCCTCCTACAGGAACGCTGTACATGGCATGGTTGAAGATACTAAACATAACCGCAAGGAAAACAACCGCAGTTTGAACGGTATAGCCGGCAACTGAGGAGCAAACCCACCAGAAATCGCAGCGTACAAAATGGCATTGCATAATCTTCTAAAGAAATAGCAAGTTCAAATCCCCTTGAATAGTCATTAAAGCTTTCAAATACCGTTATCATCCATATCAAAGGTCATCAGATTCAAATCGAGGGAAAAGGAATCAGATTAAACCACAAACGGTGATTCTAATCCAACAACCATCCTAGGTTTACCTCCGTAGCGCCGCTGCATGAGTTTGAGTGGATGCGACCACGAGAAGGCACGGAGAGCTCCTTGATACCGCACAATGCATCTGAACCACCATCACCATAATACCTGCAAGGGTAGGATTGAGAGCCGAACCTCGACACGCGAACTTCGAAGAATGCGACGGGGATGGAAGCGGAGAAGAGCGAGTGGACGGCCTTGGAAGTGAAACCATGTGATGCTAAATTGATTTAAAAAATACAAGATAGGCAATGTTTGCAATCCATTGAATACTTTTTCTAACACGTGTTTTAATTAATTATTTGAATATTGATAAATATGAAAATTCATCTCCTCAAACATTTGAATTAAAAAAATTTAGAATAAAATTTTAGATTATCAAAAGGCCATTCATAGTCAACTTATAAGTCTAACTCTCTAAGCAAACGTGTTAATGAGATAAATTAAATAATTTCAAAAGAGTTGTGATGTGAGTCACAATAAAGATTCTAAAGGAAGAAATTTATAGCTCGTTATGCTAGAACTTGACATCCATCATCGATAACAGGTTCGATGTGCATCGTCGACGCTAACATTTAAGCATGACATCGCCCTCAAAGTTGATGATTATTATCAACACTAAGGTTGACCCAAAGGACAACACCCGTCCTCTACACTAAAGTTGACGTCCACCACCAACACTATGGTCGAGGCCCACTGTCGACACTAACATCAATGCTCACCACCAACACCACTATCAATGCTTGAAGTTGCTAATAGACTCAATTTCTCCCATTGACATAAACATGCATGCTACCAACAATACTATCACAAATGTTTGTCGTCAACACCAAGGCGAATGTTGGTATTATTGGTCAATGGTCTTCTCTCTTATAAGTATAATGATCAAGTAGATCATTAATGATTCATTAATCATAATTCCAATACCTCAATGCCTCTCCTTCTTTTACAGCAAAATTAACCTTCCATTGTTTGCATCTATCATATTGTATCAATATTTTTTGTCAATTAAGGAGAAGTATATCTTTTGTAATATACAAGTGAAACTAATTGAATCATTTCAATTTGGTAGTTCATTGGTTTCTCGACTACCCGTGTTTTCCACCCAAAAAAAATATCTTATGTTATTTTATGAGCCACTCAATTTATTGTATCTATATGTATGCAAGATTTACACACAATGTTAAACCAATGAACTCAATTACCCTACCTTTTGTGAAATGTTTTAGCATACAATAGTATAGCACAATCTATGGGAAATGACTTTAGGCCAACCTTAAATAGATGCTTGAAAGGACATTTACATAAACATTCTAAGCACTATTATATTCTCCTTTGTTATTAATTGATGCATGAATTCTGTGAGAAGCAAGTTAAGATTTGGGGGAAACCTTTGTACACTCGTGATAACAACAAGTGCACAATTGTAGCCAAGCAATGCCTTCCTTTTGTCATCCACTAATGTATTAGCACTATAGAAATCATGTCAATATTGGGAAAGCAAACTTAATTTGTTGTAACCTCAAAATAGTTTTAAAGTTAACTTTTCAAGATTTTGCATTCTGAAATCACATACTCTTAGAAGTCAATCTCAATTATACACTTGTCAAACATGCAACAAGTGATCTCACATCTTCTGAGCCATTTTGGTGGGGGTTCTAGGGGAGAATATTAGAAATTTATTTGGACACCTAGTCATGAGTATTGCGTGACGAGTGGAGTGAAGTATGAGTGAACCTACAACATATGACGCCCCAAGATCTAAGGTATAAGAATTATCTATTATATCTCTTAATTAATTTAACAGAGCCACTAATGTGTGGCATCACAAGATCCAAGATGAAAGAATTGCCTGTTATATCTCTTAATTAATGTACTAGAGCCACTAATCTCCATTTCCTTAAATAAAAATCAGCAAAAGCAACCATATAGACCAACATATTTTTCTATATTCACCATTTATCCAAAATTCATTTATAATAGTTAGAAATTCAATCAATACATCAATCTTCTTTTAATACTTCTGGCTATAAAAGAATACAATATAAACTATAGAAATTTAAATCTAAAAAGCATAATTAACCTCACTCCATGGGATATTGATCACTTCCTAAAAAATATATAAAAATCTTGTAATGAATTAATAGCTTAGTAGGTTGCTAGAACCTACAACTGCAATCAATACAAGTACTTTGCATTTAATCATTCAATTCAAATCAGCACAAAATTGTAGCAATATGAATAAGTAGCAGAATATCATGTATATCATATATTACATATATATCATATACCCTTATATAAAGTTTATCAATATTATTTGTTTTGGCATATGATTGTATCAGTTGTGTATTATATCATATTCATATCATATTATATCATATCACTTACGCAATTTATCATGTATGCTTATGTCATTTACATATATAAGCAAGACAATATATTTAACTATTTATGATATTTTTCTGCATCAAGTTCAAGCCAAACCTATAGGAATCAATATCAACCATGTTAGTGTAATTACTAGGAATCAGTCTCATTACATATCACAAGTCATATGGCTTTCAAATAAGAAGTCTTCACTTCATGTCAATCGATGTATCATTTCATATCAGTCAATCTTCTTATGCCTCCTTTTTCATATTATTTGGGATTACACAAAAAATCTTATTTAAAGAAAAGCATGTCGATCCACCCTCCGATATAAGATAGCATGTCTCTAGCCAACCTGAATCAATCAATCATTTCCAGCAAGTCTTTTTTACTTTTACACACATTACATATCATGTATATTAAAATAATAGACATCATATATATAACTTATGCAATGATCATAACATATTAATCCATCTTATATATACTCTCTCTCTCTCTCTCTCTCTCTCTCTCTCTCTCTCTCTCTCTCTCTCTCATATATAGTCCCCAATCTCAATCAAGGGGCAATCAACTTTGAAGTGGATTCAATTTAACTTCTTCTATTACAAATACCTCATCGAGGATTTTTTTGACAAAAACATAGGACAAGCCAAAAAGCCCTGATGGATTTCTTTTTGCCTCTCCCACCATAGGTTAAGTTCATAAGTAATATATACCAAAGCTAACAACCTAAGGAAAGACAAATTTATTAGATAATTTTTGGATAACCCTCCCCATGATGAACTGTAATTCATAGTTAGAGGGGATACGTTAGTTATGAAAATAAAAAAAAAAAAACCCCATTTAAGGCGTGGAAATGAAGAAGCCTCGAATGATAACTAGCGTTGGACAAAGTCCTCATAATAAAGACTCTATGAGGACAAGAGGTCAATATGGTCTCCCCTTAGAACTCCTGTAAGCCACTTCAATAATATTATTTGTATTCAATAACTAGTTGAACTTAGTCATTATTTGTCAAAACAAGTTAATTAGTATTGTTCTATTAGAGGTTTACACTTGCAATCTTTTATAATGGATTCTTACTTATTCATGGTAGTTCAAAAATAAAATGATTTTGACCAAAAATTATCTATAGTTTACTGTTTTCAAGTCTCGTGGCGTCATAATCTATCACATCTTGGCATCAAATTTGTCACTCGAGCACCGCATCGTTCATAAGTTAGTATTGTCGCAACATAGCTGTTGTAACTTCCAAATGACACAATTTACCAGTGAAGCGACATGATTAGTCACTAAATAACTATTCCATATCAGCAAGCGTCACAGCGGTGCAGAAGTTCCAGTGTCTTTGCCCGCAACCAACACTACTTTCAAGCGCCACAGTACCACTTGCATTTATTGTATTTTCGTATAAATAGTAATGATGTTATATTTGTAAGGGAGTTCAATCATTTGTTTAATTTCAATATTTTTCATATTACTTCTCTAGATCTCTCTTATAGTCAATTCTAAGGGAGATAAGAGAAGTGCTAGATACAATCATTAGAGTATTTTAGTTAATGTTTGTTTGAATTATTTTGTACCTTAAGGAATGAGTGTAGAGCATATACATTGATCTTTCCTTTTGATATCATTCACTTGTAATTTTGTTCTTCTATGATTTTAATGAAAATGAGTTTGCTTATATTTTCTTTTACGTCTAGCTAATTCTCTAGTTTGGATTGATGATGTAGAGAACATATTAAGTACTAATAAACATTCTTATGTTATAAATTTAGATGATATTGTTAATATTTTTTTGTTCTTTATTTAATGTTCATAGTGGGCATATATGTAGTTAAAATCTAGAGTGATATTTAGCCTTGGAAATATTAATGCAATAATAACTAGGAATTTTGAAATAGTATGTTTGTATGCCTAGACATACATGAGATATAAAATATGCTAGGTTCTTAAGGAGATGATATAACTGTATGTGGTCAGCATATATCTTTTTCACCCCTACAAGCTTGACAGAGATCTAGAGAAGCATATGATCTAAATCATATTACAAATAAAAATTTCATTATGAAAGATATGCAGTTTACATTCATCAATAAACAAACAACAAATAACAGCATCAAGACTTTGCTCCACTACGTAGGGTCGGCTACATGAATCTTTTTTCTCCATTGTGTCTTGATTAAAGCCAAATTCTCATTTAAATCTAATAAGGAAAGATCGTTTATAATATTCCCTAACCATGTCTTTTTTATGTCTATCTCTACCTTTCTTAACATAAGTCAAATCTAATACCTCAATTTCCTAACCGGATCATCGGAAGTCTTCCGTTTCATGTGACCAAACCAAAATGTCCTTTATTTTTATTATTTCATTCAGAGATTGAATCTCCATAACCAATATTTTTATTTCAGTAGAATAATTTTGTAATTAGAGTACAATGTAGTAGTTGATTGCAAAAAAGCATACTTTCTCATAGGTTCGATACTCTACTCTATCACTTTGTTGCTTAATTCGGCACGTGTAGTTGTATAGATTAAGTGAGATTTGTTATTATATATATATATATATATATAGCACAATCACTTAATGGTCAACAACTAACTTACTAGCAACATGTGAAGGATTACTAAAGAGCAATATACATGCATATGAATTTTAAATTTTTTTATTAATTTACATTGATTTTACCTTGGCAAAATAGTTATGTCTTATAATTCAAAGTATCTTTTTTATAGTACCAAAATAAACCAAATTTTAAATGTTTCTTAATTTAATCCTAATGCTTTATTTTTTAAGAGCTAGATATTGAGAGATTAAAAATATATATAGTCTTATCCGTTTCGATATGAAGAAATATAAATATAGCGAAGTTCGAAAGCATCTTCATATGCTCATTTTATAATTTTGATGACTTAAACCTATGTCCTTAATTATCAAGCTTAAATAAGACATTAGATTAATTTTTAATGGATGTTTGTCATCATTAAATTGAATACTGTATAATGTAGGGCATATGAATGCTTTAGGTTGGGTGCATCTTGCCCTAATATGAAGGTTCTTCTATGATCTCCATAAAAAAGAGGTTTGTAGGGTGGGCTTGACACTTATGGTTAATGAGAGTAGTTTCATTGGTATTCTCTTTTGGGAGATATAGTTCTCCATCTAAAGGAGCATGTGAAATAACCATGGGATTGAGGTGGTAGTGATTAGGGGTGTCAATATTTGACACGACGCGAAAATCCGACCCGGACCCGACACGAAAAATCCTGGTTGAATCCGACCGTCCGCCCGCCTACGCGCCCCGCGTCCGAGCTAGGCTCCCGTGTTGGGTCGGGTCAACCCGGCAAACCGACGGGTCTGGTTCGGGTCCGAGTTATCGACCCGTTTGCCTACCCGAGTCGGGTTAGTGTCAACCCGATTGAACCCAGGTCAGTTCCGGGTTCGACTCGAACCCGACCCGTGACCCGAAATTGACACCCCTAGTGGTGACACATCAAATAGATAGATTTATTGGTGCTCTTGAGGGAACTGAGTGAGAGGAGCAATTTGAAAAATGCTCAAGGATTCCCTGAATCATACTTGTGTTTTGATCCTCCAATTGCTCAAAGGAGGAGTAATCATTATGAAAGTCACTCTACAATGACACTTACTTGTGACACTCTAATAATCAAAAAAAATTTCTTTAACATTTTCATGCGTATTAAACCCTTGAAGATGTTGGATCCGACATTATCAATGAAAGCATCATGACTCTACCGCAATCATAGATGAAATACACGAAAAAGAGATAGGAAGTTTGAGAGAGAATCTTAGATAAACTTTAAGATGAAAAAATTGTAATATTTTGGCTCAGTATATATGTATGTCTTGCTTACACCTACTCATTCACCACTTGTATATGTGACATGGCTTAAATTATTAGCACTTAATATGCTATATGACCAAAAAAAAAATTAATTGACCCAATGCATCTAGTTGCATATAGTGGCAGAGCCAAGTATTATCATGATAAAATTTTGATTATAATATTATAATATAATTTATTTCCATATAAAAATTAGAGCTAAAAAAATGAATAAAAAATACAAGTAATTAACTATACTTTTATTTTAAAAAATAATAAATGAACCATCCAACCATCCAACCATCCTAAATGAAGCCTAAGTTAATGATAAATCCCTATACGTTGTTATATTAAGAACCCATAATCGGCATATAAGTACTCTTGACGAATAGCTAAGATTTTGTGATGAATACTTTTGACTGACGATTTATGAGTAAATTCTTAATACAAGTAGAGTGCTCAAATTCTGAGATTCAAATAAGACAAACTCTTAAAAGGCTTTAAACTTGGCAGTTTCGAGTTGATTGATTAATAACTTGTAGAATCATATACCAACTTTGTTTGGGACAGTATTTTTATTGCTCTTAAAAAATAACTTTAAAAAATAGTAAAAAAATTATCCCAAAAAATATCTCAAAACATTAAAATAATTTGCTCAATCTGATCCATTTGAACAATAACGCACATCATAGTGGCAATCTATACTATTCCATTCGAATAATTATTAGGTCCGAACACCTGACTTAGCTCTACATCCGGATGCTAATAACATGTCGCCACATGCTCTTACTCTTTACCTCACGGCCCGACAACCCGACCCAAACCGGAATCTGATATTGCTATGTTCGGGTATTGCTAGATATTGCTCGTTATTGATAGGTATTGTCCGGTATTGCTTGACAATAATGAGAAATACCACTCTGTCAAGACCAATACCTAGCAATACCGAACAATACATAACAATACCGAGCAACACCTAGCAAAACCGGGGTATTGCTAGATATTGCTCGGTATTGCTAGGTATTGGTATTGACAAATTGACATTTCTCGTTATTGCCGACCAACACCGAGCAATACCGAGCAAAACCTAACAAGACCTACTAATATCCCGGTCTGCACAAATCAGCCAATACATAACAATATCGGGTCCAGGTCGTCGGGCAGCACAGTAAAGAGTAAGAGCACGTGACGACATGTTATTGACATCCGAATGTAGAGCTACGTCAGGTGTCCAAACCTAATAATTATTCATTCCATTCACGCTTCATATAGGGTATACAAATACTTTATACTTTAAAAGTACATTTATTTCTCTTCCACTCTGTAGTATGGTATGTGCAATGCTTCGTTTTTAAACTTTTTGCTGTCTTGAAAGGATATGTATTTTATTTTAAATAAATCATCAAATAGAAAAATACACAAATTACTCTTCACATATTTACCACCATAAATTTAAGAAATTAAGCCAAAATATTATACTTTTTATCGTATATTTTTTACATTTAGAGCTCCATCATTACGACAGCATCTTTTTATAAAATGATTTTAAAACTGATATATAAAAAAAAACCTTTTTAAAAACTAAAACAGAAAACAACTTCTAGCAGAAATTTTTTTAAAGCTATTAAAAAACTATAATCAAATAAAATTTCTAATTAAAAATTGAAAAATAAAATAATAAAAAATTATCTCAATTGAAGCCTTTAACTATAATAGACATTTACGAAAAGGGCACTGCTGATTGCTGAATTCAAGCTTCGTTTTGAGATCATGCTTTTTAAATAACTTAATATACAAAAACTCCTTAAAAGTAATTACCAAAAAGCTGCTTCAAACGAACCCCCAATATAATAAAATAAGCACATTTCGAGCTTTTTTTAAAGCACGTTTCCAACTTCTTTGTCTTTTTTTTTTTTGCATTACTTTTGTATCAAAATGTACATATTAATATATTATATAATTAACATAAATTAACGCACTTGTTCTGAAATCAACGATGAGTAAAAACTCCAGGCTCAGGCATATTTATTTGCAACAGATCGTATGCCTTGCTTTTGATTAATAGAATATTTACAATAATCTTCAACCCCTTATAAATTTTTTTGCATTTTATGCAAATCTCATCACCATTATATGAGAGATTATTACGTGTGGTCACCGGACCATCCTGAGGTCAATCAGGTTGTGCCATATCACTTGATATACACAACGTATTGGTGCATGGCACATCCTGATTGGCCTTCGAGAAATGTCATTGACCGCACGTAATAATTTCGCCCATTACAGCCAACATCCACTCCAACTCAGAATAAAAAAACAAAGAATTCATTATAAAAAACCATTCAATATCTCATATTCGATTGCATGCTTCAATCAACCAACAAAATAAAGGCATGTGGTAGCACATACACACATGCATTCACCACTTCACACAAAATATACATTTTGATGGGTATTTGTACACAAAAAAACCATTCTCCAAATCGCAATCAGCACTCTCTTTGCACTGTGAACCAAATCTTTGACAAAAAGGTTAAACAAAAAGAAAATCCAATATGAAGCAAAAGATGGCGAAGGGAAAAGTATCTTAAGACAATCTTTTTTTTTCTGAAGTAATGCAAGCTCTGATAATACTATAGAAGTACCTGTATAGGAGTAGTTGATGGGCACGTGCAGGTCTAACCTGGTTCTATAATGGGGCGTTAGGCTCAGGAGGTTTCAGTTCCATTAGCTTCGCTATTTTTCTATCAGAGCGTTCATTTAACCATTTCATCTTCCACACCTGCTGCTTGGTCGGTTTACAGCCATTGGCCTGTGTGAGTTCAGGATTAAGAGAGTTAGATTGGTGATACTGAAGATTGTTTATAATGCTAAGTTTAGGGTTTATAAGAATTAAAGGGAAACGATTTAGAATGATTGAAAGAATTTAACTACTAAATTTATGACTTCTTTGATGCAAGTTTGGATCTATGTCACAAAACTGTAGGAAAAGCTTTTTCAAACATTCTTAGAATGAGATAGCTCGGAGAAACAGATTATCAAATGCTTTAAATAAGGATCGCCAAATGAATGCTGCTGAATTTTTGTTTTCAAAATATAAAGCACGGCCTGCTTATAAAAACGGGCTAAATTTGCACTGCAAAATTTTTTCCAGACTGTTGAAGCCACAAACATTCTGATACGCCTTGGAAACAAAAACAACAAAAAATAATATAAAAACTGCAGTAAAATCAAAACGGTGGCTGATTTTTCATTAAAACTTCAATAAGAGAAAACAAGATAGAGGTGATCTACAATTCGAGATGTAGAGCAACTCTTCCAATCGACCAAGATGTCACTAGGAATCCCTCAAAGAAAAGAGCTACAGCAAACACCCACAAAACTCATCAATAGCAGGAACCTAAAACCCCAGACAACTCCCACTTAAATAGCTTTAGAACATAATAACACAATCAGGACATTCCTAATCAACATAAACATAATTTATGAAACATTTCTAAATAAATAGAACATTCATAATCAATAAAAACATAATTTAGTAAACTTTCTTAAATAATTGAACATATTTTAAGAAATATTCCTAAACAATTCAACACTACCTAAATAGAATAAACACAATTAGGGAAACTTTTCTAAACAACTCCCCCCTTGATTAGAAACATTTCTAAATAATTTTTCTTAATTAAAAATTTTCCTAAACAACTCTCTCTTAAATAAGAATCATTCTAAACCGCTCCCCCTTCCTGGCTATGGGGCCGCCTAGTGTATCACATTCCACCCAATAAAGCTAGGCTGGGTCATTGGGTTTTGGAGAATTGTTTTGACGCCTTCTTAGCCCCTTTTGATCTAGTATTGATTGTGATTTGAGTAGAATGTTAGGAGCTAGAGTCAGAGGTAACAAGATTTTGCCCCTCCTGATTTAGTGGACCAAACTTGTTAAACAATTTTTAACGAGTTCACACCACCAGTTGGTAAGCCGGAAGAGGTGGCTGTTTCTTCTTTCTGAGAAGGGTTACAGGGATCCTATACCAATTTATGCTAGGCTGATCCAGGTAGAACAGGGTCCTTGGATTTCTAGGAGTCAACAACAAGGTTTTGAGCCTGAATAATCTGATGTTGGGAGTAGGATCTATCAGGAATGAAGCTTTTCAAGGAATGTTGTATGAGGCCTTGTCTGCTAGGCTTTTTTACTCTTACCTCAACAAAAATAGGCCTCACAAGGATTAAGCTTTCCTTGATTAGAACGAGATTTCAAATGACAAAAGTTAGATGTGTGAGCAAAAGAGCAATAAGCCTCACACAAGGATGGCTTACAGTCATACTGGATGCTAAGGATTTGAGCTTTCCTCGCAACAGAATAGGTATCTCATCCAGGAGGCGGGATTTACAATCAACCTGGACAGAGACCCTAGCGAACAAGAGATGAGATTTTTCATCTGCGAGCATGTCCACCGCTAAGGGCTAGCGGGATGTATGCAGGTCGAGACATTTGAGATCTCTATTGCCTCTAAACTCCTCGACCACCACCCGATCACTGACCGTCGTCAGACATCCGCCCAAGCACCAGCTGTTGCCAGACTTTTGCCCGACCACCAACTAATGACAGACTAATGCCCGACCATAGACCATCGTCGAACTTCCGCCCAACCACCAACTGTCATCAGACTTCTGCACGACCACCAACAAACGTCGGATTTACACCCAGATACTAACTGTCGCTAGACCCTGCTCGGCCACCAGCTGTCACCCTACTACGATCTTTCTGACCTCCGCCGCCCTCCGATTACAGTCCTTCCAACCAAATTTCAATCCACTATGGTCCTTCCGACCAGCATCACCCGACTACGGTATTTACGACCTCCATTGCCCGCCAACTACAATCCTTCCGACGACCGTCACCTGACTATGGTCATTCCAACCACCGTCGCTCGACCGTCGTCCAACTACGGTCTTTAAAACTTTCGTCTCCTACCAACTACGGTCCTTCTGACCACCGTCACCCGACTATGGTCTTTACGATCTTTGTTTCCCACCGACTATGGTCCTTCATACTACTTTCATCCAACTATAATCTTTATGCCCACCGTCGACTACCGACTACGGTTCTTCCGGCCACAATCAACCGACTATGATCCTTCCGACCATTGTCGCCCGACTACGGTTTTCCGACGACCATCATCCGCCAACTACGATCCTTCTAACTACCATCGCCCGACTACAATATTTCTGACCTCCATCATCCGTCAACTATGATCCTTCCGACCACTGTCGCCCGACAGCAGGCCTACCAACCTACATCACTCGCTGACTATGATCCTACCGACCAAACAAACATGCTAACATTGATTCTTCCAACTCCCACAATGAATGCACTCTATATAATGTATATTTGCTACATCGAGGATCGAGGAAGGCCTTCCCCCTAAGGAAGTGCCTTATTTGTAAACGACTATGGCATGCGGACTGGCAGGCAGTACACAGGTCGTAAGTTTCCACATGCAGATGGATTGTTTCATTGCGTGAGACAGAGTGGACCAGGAGGTGATGTTCACGTGAAGGATCGAGAGGCATGGCTCGGGTTGCTGATGGGAGGCAAACCGTCTCTCTTTGGCCTGTGGATCGAGTTCACAGAGCAGGACGAAAAATGGATTTGAGAAGTGTCGCTGATGGAATTGTTCGCAAGCCTTGCGACCTTAGTCTGTCGGATGTGGGTTTTGTTACAGATGAATGAGGCGCTCGTTCAATTATGATCAGATGCAGAGGAAACAGGTGGACCTGGAGTTGTCTTCGCAGAGGGAGGTGTGTTTGACGAAGGAGAACCCGCGGCTTCTGGTTCGCAGGAGGTGGTCGTGGATAGAGTCAAGAGATTGCACATGGACAGTAAACACATTCATGCGGGAGCAGGGGATTGTGTGTGGACTGAACGCAAGTTAGGCTCATGTGTGTAGAAGCAAGTAGGGCATATGCAGTGCTAGGGGAGGCTGCGCGGTGCCGCGTGAAACTTAGTCGCACATGCGGCGTTGTGAATCTATTTTGGTGTGTAGTGGGTGCCGAGAGGCAAACAGCGACGTGGCTATTGCAAACAAAAGCGGGTGTTGGGAACACCATCATCGGTAGCCAAGAGCAATGGTCGACGAAGCATGAAGGCTTGGGAGTCGCAATCTTAAACCATTCAATAATGATTCTTAGAAATTAAAATTGTGGCTGCAGTAAAAGTTGGATGGGTGGCTCGTGCGAAGCCGCAGGTTGGAGTATGCACGAGTGCCCTTGGAAGATGGAAGAACGAGCGATTGGATCGCAACGGCATGATGGTTCGTTGGTATTCATTGTAAAATATGGATGAAGTTGGAGATTGTTAGAATTAGTCCAATTTTAGGTTAAGTCATTTCACAAGACACCACACCATTGTTAATTTCTATATATAGAATAAATTTTAGATTTCCTCCTAAAATCTAATATATACTATATATAATATAATATTATATATATTATATATTATATATATATATATATATATATATTATCTCAAGAAGTTCAAGACTTCTTCTCCAGAAGATCCAACACTCACAAATGTAATTTTCCTTTATTTGTTCTTTTTTAAGTATAACTCTGTAATTTTTTATTATAGTAATGAAAGGGGCTAGTCCCACAAATTTCAAAAAAAAAAAGATGATGTAATGCTTTACATAAAGGAAAACGTCAAGAAGTCTAATTTAGAGGTATGTCAATGTAGGTGCATACACATAGTTAACATTTCGGAATGAATAATAGAAACTTAAGTCTGCAAAAGGAGAATATGTTTATAAAGAGTACAAGGGAAAATTAAGCTACAAGCATATCAGAGCAGTTGCCAAGAAACCCCCCAACAAAAATATTGAGGGCAACGATTTAACATGTCAATAAGTATTAAACCACGATACAAGTAGGCAACTAGATGCTCATGTTAAGAAGTTACTGAAACACTCAGTTATATATAAGATTAGATTTTGATCAGCTTAGCAGACAATCGGTCAGCATTACCATGAGTATTAGTTTTCTATGCATTGCACGTCAGACCAATGCACACATGATTAGAAGAGGCAGCGCATGTATATGACAAAAGCGCTCTTCCGGCAAGAAAGCAGTAGAAGAAAGATTCACGTCTATATTTATAACAATGATGCAACCAAAGGCCAAGTAGCCATATTCATAGGTCAAGCAAAATGGGATCCAACTGGTATAAATTTAGCTAAGAAAGTTAATATTGTTTATGGTGAAAAGACTGATTAGGGAAATCTCGGTTTATGCCTTTATAGAACAAAGAAAATATTTTAAAATAGGATAATGATTTGCCTTTTTCATCTGTAACGATTGTTCATTGGGTAGTCCGTAGTCCGCAATTGCAGTTACTGGACACTAATTCTATATTAAATAATTGCCGTGTTTGGTTATAAAATCAATTGCTGCTCTTTTACTCCTTATACCTTACCATACAATGAATAAAAACTAGCCAAAATTATGCTTATTTTGGTAAATAATAGGTAAAATGAGATATGCAAGGTAAGAGAACTTGTGGAGAACACAAAAGAAGAGTAAATAAAAGTCAACTAGATCACAAAGCAATCACAAAACGAGGTTAGAGAACTTGTGGAGAACACCAGCAGAGATCTAGCAATCAGCTGAAAGACATTGCAAATTAACTAGAGAAATTTCATTGAAAAAACAAAAAAAGAACAGAAAGGAAACTACATGATTGATGCGATAAGTAGTTTACAACAATTTTCTTTTAATACCTCGAACAATTGAAGAGGGATGTTTGCCAGAAACTGTGCCACGACATTAGCACCACTCAGCATGCTCATGCTTAGAACCTACCATCAGTAAATGGAGTCAACAGTGCAAAACTTGGAAAACTCGATAGAAATTCAAACTAAGTTGAAAGAAACAATAAAAACTTATATTTCTTACAGATGCAGAGCAAAAAAATAACTAAAGAATATGAGCCAACCGCACTGCCTACCGTTGTGAATTTATAGAAACCAACACAATAACGAAAAGAAAAAAGGAAACTAGTTTAGTATCTCTGCAGCTTAAACACTGCCGCAAGATTTAAGCCACTTATGGTAGCTTATCTCACCGCTTGCTTGTGACTTCAAAATTCTCAATGATAGATTCTTAAAGCATCGGTACAATAAAATATATTATTTTAGTAGAAAAAAATGTTCTATCACCGTTTGCTGGAGTAAGGAATAAAAAAAATGTCACATGTTTATTGATAATGACGTGACAAATAAAAGCAACCAGAGTAAGTAGACTTGCACAATCGTGCTGAGTTGTTGACCATAAAGAGGGAAATTATCAAAGATCCTGATGAAATCACAGAGGTTCAAAAGTCAACAAGTGCTCAGGGGTATATTTGGAATTGATAGCCAGAGTGACGAGCTGGAAAGATTTCATAATGTATGATTTTTCTAAAGTTCAACGGGAATACAAGATTCCCTATAGAAGAGGCAAGAGTTGTTAGGCTGGTGAAGGTTTGGTAAAAAGAAAACTTCCCACTTCGCCATTCAGATTTATGGTCTTACAATATTTTTTTGAGTTTATTAGTAGGACTTGAAGAATCAGCACAAAGTTCCATCAAACTCATATCGCATCACTGACAAAATAAGTGATTCATTATTATCTCATCACGTTATTGAAAAGCTGAAAGATCTATCAAATGAGATCATCAGCGACAGCATAAAAAAGTCATTATATTCTGTTTAGTTGTACGAGCCTATTCACCCATCAAAGTTCAAACTGCATGTTGACATATATTTTCAAGTCGAGCTCAAATCGAGCCAATTCGAGCCTGACTGCACTCAATCGCACTCAATCAACTCAAACGAAGGTCGTCTAGCATCAATTTACCTAAATCAGGCCCTTTATTAGATTAATTTAAATTTAACTACATAAAATTAAGGGCCAATTGATTGAGCTGACCCAAAATCAATCCAAATTGACCCTCGTCGAACCTGATTCAATACAATTTGGCACCGATTCAAGTTTAATTTCGTGAAATTGACTTGGTCGGACCCAATCGAACCTGAATCGACCCAAATCAATCAAATTTGGGCTTGATTCTAGCCCAATTGACCCAATTCGAATTCAATTTAACCCCAAATAGATTTAATTGGTTTCTTGGCCTTTTGTAATCATTTTCCCACATCAAGAAACAAAATCAAACGACTGAGATTCAAAAGGTTGTTGTTCACATGTCACTTCCCTCTGATTTGTGTGGCTAAAGCAGGATATCGTAAGAGGAAATCTAATCGAGCGAAATCCCCTCTCATTTTGCATATAGAGGGAGAGGGAGACGAGAGAAGAGGATCTCTGTGCGTGTGCATCCCAAACCAAACAAGAGAGAGCAGGAGAGGAGAATTTCAGCCGAACCCATCCCTCGACCTACCCAGTTTGCACGACCCCACATGCACCAACCTCGTCCGCGGTCGCCCCGCCCATGTCAAACTTCTCCACGTGGAAATTGTCTGCACCAAACCTGTACGAGACCCAGCATGTACAGAAGAGAACCCGTCTGTGCTCTACTTTCTAAACAAAAACAACATCTCTACTCTTCATATGCATTGAGACTGGACGCCATGATTTTAAAAGAGACTAAGTGGGGATTAACCGGTAGCCCTTTCCAGGTAGGGTAATAAATCCAGAAGTCATATTGGCTATGTCTCATGTGAGAGGTAATTTGTAAGTCCCTTGCACTCCGTAAGACTTAAGTTCAATGCACTATCCCTCCGCAGTCCTCACCTTAGTTCTAGGGTCTGAGGCAATGATTGATTTCAATCACCAAATAAGCCCTATCAATCCGGGCATTTCCTACAATATGTGTAGTTCAATTGTAAGCCCCAACATTCTAAATAAAATTGTTAACTTAAATAAAAATTAGATTCTAAAGTGTAAAGCTCAACTTAGAATAATCTGAGCACCTCTGAAATGTCTCAGAATCAAGTGCTCCTACTTCACTCCTTTCGCCCTCATTCCAAAATCTGATTTAAAGTTTGATCTTTTCCTTTGAAATTCCTAATGACCAAAACTCCTTGAGCAAGAATTTCACAAATTTCAGAAAACTACTAGTTTAATAAAAAAAATTCTCAAGTATCAAATGTTTGAGATGTAATTAACCATAGAAGCTTGCCCCTACAAGGCATCCGTATCTCAGAATAAAATAAACATCATTCAAACAAATATTGAATGGAAAAATCTCGATTAAAATTGTAATTTTTTTTATTGAGTCCATAACGAAATAATATTTTTGTCCTCCGACATAATATATCATCTTTTTTTGGCCGTGTTCGATCACAAAATATGCAATCTATTGAGGATGACAAAATTTCTCCAACACTTTACTAAATCTACAATAATTAGTATAAATCTCTTTGAACAGCTCCTCAAATGCTAAAGAGAATTCAATCAACAAAACAATCATGCTATACTAAACCTAGCACAATTCCTGACATGTAATTGTTAGTTCAAGAAGCGTAACTATGCCCAAGATCAAAATGGAATCACAAGCTGAAGTAGAAAGTTGAATTATGTTGAATGCATCAGCTATCATAAGAATTTCCATAGCATGGGTGTAACCAAAATATGTGTTCCCTATCATGCATTGAAGACAAACAAGTATAGTTCGAAAGCTGCTATGAAGTGGGCATACCTGGTAATGGAAAACCAATAAATTTTATTATTGAATTAATTATACTTATCTTCTTGTGGGGTCAATATTATGCATACCTTCCATGTGTTTTCTGAAATTGTAATTACCTCCACTGATGTTAGATATTATAAAATATGCCAATCCAATCCATTTTTTTAAATTTCACTTGCCTCCCAGTTTCTTAAACATTACAGAATTGTTAAACCTAATCTATTAACCAAGAGTTTCAGAAATGGAATGCAAGTGTAGTTTCAAACAACATTGAGAAGATATGTGTAATATATTAGAGCTGTCAAAATCGGGTTACGGGTTCGGGTCCAACCCGGAATTGACCCGACACAAATTGACCCGACCCATTTTTGCAAACCGGTCACTTTTTCGGACACGAACCCGACCCGCATAAGGTCCGAGTCAACCCGACATGACCCACCACTGATTGTAGGACTAGAGCTGAGTCTCACGTGCAGGAGATGGAATCCCCGACTCGAGCCCCCTCCCACTCAAGTCCTTTTGCTCTGCCGACCACCTAGTCACCAGCCAACTCACGCTTCCCCGAAGCCAAGCAAACTTCTCTCCCTCACGCTGCTCCTCTCCCTTCCAAGGGCCGAGCAACTCACAACAGCCTCCTCTCCGGCGATCAAGCACGTTCGGCCATCAGCTCTGTCCGTCAAACAATACCTCCATTCAGGCGTCGTTCTCCTCTCTTCTTGACGGCATCCATGCCAGCCAGGTCTTTTCACGTGAATCGGGTGAGGCAACTGATTATGGCAATCAGAGCTGTGAGTTGAGTGGTAGGATTCAGACATGGAGCCATGCGAACAAGATACGAATCACATGATCAAAGATTTGGCGATTCCGTGTACATGGTGAGGTCGTAACTAAGCGTGAGTGCGGAAATGGCACGTAAGTCCGTGATTGAGCATGAGTGTGAAAACTACGGACGCGACCAGACAAGACAGCCATTTTCCCGGGTCAAGCCGGGTTGATTTCGGGTTTCCAGGTCAACCCGAATCCAACCCGATTTTGCAAACGGGTCAGAATCCCAAACTCGACCCCTTTCTCAACCCTAACCCAAAATTTTCGGGTCGGGCCAAATATTGACACCCCTATAATATACTAATACGGACAATCAATAGGAGAGGGAAGTGTAATTAGTTCTAATATTTACTAAAAAAACTACCATTTACCTTCACTCGGAGCCTTAAAAGCTTCAAATGATCCAAAAGTTCATCAAGCATAACGTCTCTGTCAGTCTGCAAAGCGAGATAGTACGAGTTGGAAAATTAAGAGTAGAATTATAGATGTCAGCCTCGTTCTAATAAAAAAGCAGGCCAAAGCTTCTCACAAATAAACGCAGCTAATCAGGAAAGCTGCATTCATGTAAAATGCTGTGCATGATCACACAACAAAAAATTGATTAGAAAAATGGTAAACAACTACAGAGTATGGGAGAGAGAAACTAGCCGTTACTTCTCTCAATCAGATCCAGGAGTGAAATGAATGAGAAATAGTATAACTTCCATAAAACATTTTCAAAAGGCAGCAAGTTGGAACTTGGCCAACGCAGTAGACAATGGTAAAGGCAGGAGTGACACCATAATTCTGATTTTCCCGGTAAAACTCATGTTCCAACTATTCGAGATATTGACAATATTTGTTGATTAAAGCAATTAAGCTATTATATTTTTCCATCATTTTGATTGCCCCTGGTTACTAATACCCCTCTCCATTGTAGAAAGCTTTGCAGCACTGGAGAATTGATAGCAGACAATGGACCATTAAACTAACTTCTGAGTTTAGGCTATTAAAGAAACTTAACTTTTATACAAAAGTGCCCAATAAGAGTGAAATATCATAAACACGTGAAGGATTGTAAGCCTCTGATAGGAAGTAGGGGCTCTTAAATCAAAATTGATAAGAAGTAGATGCTCTTTTAACCAAATCAGCAAATCGTAATGGAAAATTGGGAAGAACACACACCACAAAACTTCTTATTGCAAGAAAAACGAAAGAAAATAACAAGATACAGTTAGATCCTCAATTGGAGAAGAGGATCCAGCTCTCCAAATCTCTAGCCAGCGGCTAGCTAGAGCCCAAATAAAACCTAAAAACTCTCCAAATTTCAGCAAACATAAGATATCCTTAACCCTAGGAAAAGAAAATACTCAAAGCATGCAATAGAAATCTCTCTCTCTCTCTCTCTCTCTCAATGGCTCCCTTAATTGGTTGCTAGGCCCGACATGCAAAAAAGGGGCAGGTGGAAGTTTCACCTAAAAAAGGTGGAAGTTCATCCTCAAACAGACGAAATTGTTCCGTCTCAAACAGGTGGAACTATTCTGCCTCAAGCAGGCACCAATCTCAATTGACCGGCTGAACTAGTCCAATAATATCCCCCTCCCGCAGACTCACCTTGTCTGCAAGGTGAAAAGGAAACTCCTTCCTCAATTTCCTCATCATCACAAACGGTGAGAATCTGAAAAGTTGGGTCCTTACATCTGTACCCCAATGTATATCTCTCACCACATCTGAAATAGAGCCCCGTCGCCCTCTTTTCCTATGACTCCATTTCTGTGAGTTTCTTGAAGTTTTCCCCAAGTCTTATTCCTACAATCTTCATCTTCGGGGTATCCCAAGGAGTACTCAGTGTGATACAACCAAAAAACAAGATTGCAAAGGACTTAGATCTTCCTTCTTAAAACATAAATATAAAAACAAAGATTACAACCTAAAGACACTTTTCATTGACAAATGCTAGACTTGACACATTGACACAACTACACCCTTAAAGCTTACAAAAATTTTTTGAGAAGAAAGATACAGATGGGGCGGGAACCATGGATAGATGAGGAGGTAGAAGGCCGAGATGAAGTTTTAGAGGGGAAGGGGAAGGAGGCTAGCTAGCAAGCTAGTGAAAACCCACAAGTTTACAATCCAAAAATCATCAAATAACTATACTCTAACGGCAAGAAAAGCCACTATATATAGGGAAGAAAATGAAAAAAATATTTTTGATGTAAAGTAATCAATGCACCACCCAAACAACCACTAGGATTTTCTCAAAAATCGCAGCAAACAGGAACCAAAAAGGCAGCAGCAAATGGGGGAAAACTGAAGCAAAAATAGCTGCCAAAAGGGGAAAACTGAAGCATCACACGAAAGCCAATGGGGTGGGGTGGGGGGGCATCACAGTGTCGGCACCTTGGGTGCCAAAAAAGGTGAAGGTTAACTCCTATACAAACTTCCTAAGTTGCTGCCTCCAGTCTCTCTTTCCAGATGCCTCTGATCCTCCACTAATTGAACTAACACCATAGTCTCTCCCAAATCACGAGGCCTCATTACTCTAATTGATGCTTGAATCTATAGTTTGAGTCCTTCCATAAAGTTCCCCTCAAGTACAATCTCTAGAAGCCAGTCCATTCGGCTAGGCAGGTGCTCAAACTACTTACGGTATTACAACACCTTCCCCTCGTGTGTCGGGCAAAGAATTACTCCTGAAAGTCCCTTTACATGCCAGTTTGAAAATGTTCCAACAAGCAATCCATTAAACTCTCTCCAGGTCTGCATGGGTCGCCTCGTATCCCTCCATTGGTTCCATGTTAAAGCTTTCCTCTCCAGGCACATCCTGGCTGTCGTCAGTCTCTCCTCCTCCATGAACATATTGACAGTAAAGTATGTTTCCATCTTGTAGATCCACCCATGGGTATCATCTCTCTCAAAAATCGGCATCTTCAGCTTCATCATCCTCGAATCTCCTATTTCCTCCACAATTTCCAATTCCCAAGGTGGTTCCCTCCAATTGTCTCAATCATCCCTTCTACGTTCATACACAAACCTTTGATCAAATTCACACCTCCTATGAAATTCAACACCCCTTGAATCATAATCAACCTCTCTTTTTTCAAATTCAGCACCCCTTCGATCATAATTAGCCCTTCCTTTCAAATTTCGCCCATCTAATCTAAGATTTAACTACCCTTTGTTCATGCTCGACCTCCTCACACCTCTCACCATACCCTTTACCCGGTTCCTTCCTAGGAATAGATTCTAGGGGAAGCATGCTCTCTTCTCCCTCCCGAACCTCCACCTTCTGATCCTCCCTTTGCCTTATTAGATTAGGGCTTTCCCCACTTTCTTGGTTGACAAAGGCTTACCTCGCCTCTGACAATGCCGTTTTGGGTTGACCGTCGAGCAACTTCTTCAGCATTTCCTCTAAGATGGAAAAATTCTCATCCATCTTCTCAGGAATGGTTGAAATTTGACTTTTGACACCTGAAAGTTGAGTCAAGAGATTTGAACCTTCAATTTACTATTGTCTGATCTCCCCTTCCAACACTTCCACCTTTTGTCCTATCATAAGTACTCGAGTTAGGCTCCAATAGCAAAAAAAAAAAAAACTTTGATGTGAATCGGGCCTCCAAACAGCAAAAGCAACAAGATCAAAAAGGAAACACTGCAAAAAATCAATGAGGTCGACTTCTATTTAAGCCCAGGAAATTGCTCTGATACCAATTTGATAGGAAGTAGGGGCTCTTAAATCCAAATTGATAGGATGTACGTGCTTTTTCAACCAAATCAAAAAACTGTAATGAAAAATTGGGAAGAAGACACCATAGAACTTATTGCAAGAAATACGAAAGAAAATAACAAAACTAATTGATTAATTTTAGTAGGTGCTTTTAATTAATCAATTAATTTTAGTTAACTAAATTCAATTAAATTTGAATAATTAATTTCAATTAAATTATTCTTTCCATTAATAAATTTTTATTAATTAGTTTTAATTAATATTAATCAACTAAATAATTAAAATTAAAATTGAATTGCTCTCCAATTACTCTAAAAAGGAATTTCCTACAGTTTTCCAAAGGAACTTCGGCAACCTCCCGATCTCCCCCTATGTGGAGGGGACGCCAGGATAGCACTTGATGCTGATTTCTTCCTGGCCAGAGCTAAGGTCAACGACGCGACCTCTTGGGTTTGAAATCATTGCGGACGAAAATCTAAGATCAACGGTGCGATATTTTGAATTTAAAGTCATCTCGCTTGGATCTAAGATCGAGGGCGTGAGGTCTTGGATATGCTTTTCTCCTAGCCCGATCTAAGAACGATGGCTTAGGGTTTTAAAAATTAAATACATATTATAATATTTAAGTAACTATACATAAAATATTTATTAAAATTACTTAGACTGCTTATGACAGCCATTAGCTTGTGTCATTCTAATTATAGACAATTTATCATTATCGACTTTAAATTAGTTTTAAAGTAATTTTAGTAGCAATAGACCTAGTGAGGGGATTGTGACTTTGGGTGATCAATTTATTAATAAGAGTTCACGTTTTAGATATCATGGATATATTGTTCAGATTGATGGTGAAATAGATGGGGATAGCAGAATTCAAGTTGGTTGGTTGAAGTGGAGGAATGCATCGAGCTTGTTGTGCGATAGAAAAGTCTCCCTCAAACTTTAGAAAAAATTCTATAAGATGGTGGTGAGACCTGCAATGCTTTATGGTTTCGAATGTAGGCCATTAAAAGAGAAGCATAATACTAAGTTAAGCATTGCAGAGATGAGGATGCTTAGGTGGATGAGTGGCTTTACCCTTAGAGATAGGATATGAAATGAGCATATACGTTAAAGGTTGGAGTTGCTCTAGTGGAAGATAAGATTAGAGAGAGCTGCCTTTGATGGTTTGAACACATTAAGCGGAGGCCTTCTGATGACCCAGTTAGGAAAGTTGAGGTATTAGATTTGACTTATGTTAAGATAGGTAGAGGTAGACCTAAAAAGACTTGGTTAAAAAAATATTAGAAATGATATTTCTTTTTTAGATTTAAATGAGAATTTAACTTTTAACAGAGCACAATGGCAAAAAAGGATTCATGTAGCCGACCTAATGTAGTGGGACAAAGGCTTGATGTTGTTGTTGTTGTCTTTAAATTAGATATGAATAAATAAGACAAAAATCTGTCTCTTCAAGTAACTTGTGCGAGCCACTATAAAAGATCATTTACTATAGTTGTTTGGGTATAGATAGAGGTTTCACACATTTAAGTTTGGCTATAGGCAGAGATAACCAAATAGAGACTAACGTAAACGTGAGGCACAATTGCACGAGCACGAAGGCAGCAAGTGCAATCGAACTAGGGTGTTCATGTGGGAAGACAAGGCATAGCAACTCTTGATGTTCAGAACGGATGGAAGTGTCCATTTGGGTGTTATGCTCAGGTTCGATCGAACGAAAGGTAGGGG